ATAATACAGATGAATATAAATACGAAGATATTAAATATTGAACAAGAAGCAACTAAAATAAATATTTTGATTATTTTCTTGGAACTTTGTATTCGGTAAAAATGTAGTTCTCATTATTTCGAACTCAGACATTCAATGAATACTAAGTCTTTTACTAAAACAAACACAACTCATTTCAATTAGATCATCTAATGAAATAAAATTTGATAGACTGCAATAAAAATTGCGTCACCGGGAACTCTATGTGTTTTATATCACTTGACACTTATTTTTCGTTACGGTCGAACAAAGTGAAAAGGAAAGAAAACAAGAAGTGTTTTTTTCCACCATAACATTTTGTCACTGAGTAGCAGGAAACTGTCCATTGATTTTATTTAATTATAATTACAGGTATGATCGCCATCAACTTGGGAGCTTCTACCGAATGAAAACTGAAGTTTTTTTTCATTGTAGCGCAGAATAAAATCCTATGTAATACGATGATCACTTGTATTGATAAAGATTTTTTCTAAGATTGTTGTAAAGAAAACTTTCATGTTTTGAAAAGAAAAAAAATGTGTAATACACCTTTCCAATAGATGTTTTCAATCGAAAATTTTTAAGCGTGAATGATTTTTCCAAAATGTTTTCGACTGTCAACATGCAAAAAACGAACCATTACATTTGTAACATTATATAATTTAATGATGTGTCGTCATAGTCATTTATCAAAGTGAAACATTGTGAGCATGGTGTGTTGAGGAAAAACATATGTTCATATGAGTCATTTGATCAGTTGTGCGTACAAACAGTGTAAAAATATTTCATACTGAGTATAGGTTATTGCATACATTTTCATTATTTACTACTTAATTTAGTAAAGTAGTCATACTACTGAGTAGCAATAGTTTCTTGAGATTACTTTCACGTTGTAGAACTGTTATCTATATTAAAATTATAATTATCATATTTATTTTTAGATTATCATACCGATTCAAATTTATTTGTAGGCCTTCTGACTCGAATCAATTGTGATAATGTTTCAAAGACAAGCATTAGTCATTGGCAATGATACTTACCGAGTAAAACCCAGACGAACTTGTGTGAACGATGCAAATGACATCTCGTGTGCACTGCGTACAATTGGATTTATATCACATTGTGCAACAAATTTGGAATCTCAAACAATGTTATTACGTATAAACAGATTTAGAGAATCAATCGCACCAAATGCAATAGTAGTAGTTTATTTTTCTGGTCGCGCTGTGCAATATAATGGCCATACGTATTTGATGCCAATAGACAATAATTGGATTTCTTCAGAAAATGTCGGACAGTCGGCATATAATGCGGAGGAAATCATTGGAATTATGCATACTAAAGGCCCTAGAGCAGTTATATTGATTCTCGACTGCGCACGACCTTATCAAACTCTTGTAGGTGAAACACCTTTTTTTGTTGACAGAGAACCACTGGGATTATTACAAGGTATGGCACCAGTACATCCACCACCATCAACAATCATTGCTAATTCCTGTGAGGCAGGTGCAACATTCTTCGGTTTGGCAGATAATTATCGAAATAGTATTTATACTTATCATTTACTTCGTTATATAACACGACCAAATATTGATATTGACACTGTTTTTCGATGTGTTGCCTTGAATGTTGAAAAAAGTACTAACGGCAGACAAAGGCCTGATCGATACAGCAGTGTTTATGAACTTCTTTATCTTGTTATTAACTCATATTCGAAGAACCTAGCACGGTCAAGTACTATGCAACCAGATCAACAACTTCGTTAGTATATTCTGTTAAACTTTTAAACACTAATACTGTTTACATATGTTTAGAATTGATGAATTCTCAATCTTATCATCGGCCATACGACATGACCAGAATTTTGCCACAACTGAGTCATTTCAACTATCAGTTTGGAATGCCAACGAGTCATTATCATGCCGATTCCAATTTTTCACCTGCAATCAAGAAACTTGGAAATACATCTACCTATCCGTTTACCAGTGGACAACAATACTATTTTTACTAAACGAGAATTGACTCTATCACAAATTGAACTGAAATTTATACTTATTCTAGAAAATGTTAATAGATAAATAATTATTCTTTTATCTGACACATAACTATCTTGAAGATGTGGGTGAGTGTGGATGAGACATGATTCGAGCTATCACCCACATCCACATCCTCAAGATATTTTTATAAGTAGTTTTTGTTTATATTTTGAATAAGATTGACGAGAATAAAGTAGGAGTTTATTTTATAAACTTAATATTTATGTGGCAACAAGACCGAAGGTGCTGTGCTTGGGTGTGAGAGTATCATATTCTTCTCTCATGTGTCTATTGAATCCATGCCATTATTGTTGTTACATAATTAAAAATTCTTGAGTGTGTGAGTCTGGAGAAGTATTGGTGTGTTCACATTTTTCCCACTTAAATCCACACCCACACCCTTATTCGATAAATTATTCTCTTACTCATTCTTTGCACACGACCAATTTCTTGTTTGACTAATTGGCGTAGCCACCATGTATATACTATACATTTAATGATAGATAATAGTTTATAAGAAAGAAAACAATTACTTTGTTTTTTTACATCTAAACATTACCAATTAGTTTTCATGCTCTTTTTATTAGAGTAAATTACTTCTATAATAGATAACGAGAAGAAATATTTTTTAAATATGTAATTGAAATCGATATTACAGTACCAGTCATACTTTTTCTTATGCGTCCTTGTTCATCCAAAACGCACTTTTCGTAGGCATTTTGCATATCAGTAACAACAAGCTACACCGTAATTAGAGAAAGGTATGAATATGAAATAATTCAAATATTTTTTAAAGTTTGTTGAGAGTGTGTGATGATATTTATTGTAGATTTATTCGAATTCTTAAAATCATATATTCATTAATATATTTTTTGAATGATTTCTATCGAAATAAATCATTTTGCATAATATAAATTCGATTTATTTTCTTTCAAAACAGGTATTCTATAGAAGAACAAAATTTTGTCTAAATTCTATCGAAAAAAGCAAGATTTTTTATAACATAAAAAATAAGTATAGTTTTAAGTAAGGCTCTATAAATATAGATTATTTTGTGTTTGCCATATTTGCAGTGAATAGTTTACTTAAATCTAAAAACTAACGATATATATATGTGACAAGATAGCTTAGAAACAACATAAAAATAAGATATTTAGTAGATTTTTCGAAAGTTTTAGTTTTAGTTTTATTATTATTCATTTTGCTAGAAGGATTTTATAACACTTTATTTTTGTTTTGTCTTCTATTTAAATAAATAAAAATATATAAGAAAAAAAAAGGTTAAATCCGAACTCCCAGATTTGAACTGGGGACCTATAGGTTACTATGTTATATGTCCATTACAGCCTACCGCTCTGCCAACTGAGCTAAGTTCGGATATTAAAATAAGACTTTCAAATTAATATTTTTTTTAATGATTAACAAAAATAAACTTTCGATTTCTAAATCGTATCATTTTACACAATCCATCTAAAATTTACTCATAATACTATTAAATATAATGATAGACATTTGAATATTTATTTATAAATACATTTTTAATTTCTTTTTACATTAATTAATCATAGTCATTTACAATTTTTATTTAATAAAATTGTAATTAGAAAGAATCAATATTATTTGAAGTAAGAAACGAAACTTTTTTCCAAGAGATATGCATAGCGAAATATTCTGACTTTTTGGTAAACCATTAGCATATTCTTTTAATTGGGTACTCAAAGATTGGCAATAGTTTAATTAATGATGGACTTTGGTATAGATGTCCAATCGAATCTTTTTCTCGAATTGGGTGTTGACGTGGGTGTTGGTGTTAATTACAAATAAATATAATACCTACACTCACACCCATATCCACACACACATACACACCCATACCTATATTCATACCCATACCCTTGATTGATCTTCTATAAGTGATCAGACTTATTTTATTTTATTTTATTTTATTTGTGCTTAACTTTCTCGTGCTTATTAATCCCGTGCTCAACGTTCTCTGGGCACATTGTTTCGGTTCCCAATCATTTCGTTTAAAAAATGAAAAATTAGTTTTTGATCAGCGACAGTACAGTGATTTCACTGATTGAATAAATTGTTCTTTGTAGTTTTGTGACGGTAAGACGAATACAGGAAATGTCATTATCGAAGAGGTGAATGAAATAAAATATCCACTCAAAAATAACCAAGGATCTCGAACACTTTTCATACATTCAGATAAAAATGAAATAATAAGACGAGGTGATGCTAAAAGTACGAGAATAGATGGTGAAATGAGCAGATGCTTGTGGTTTTGTAATTGTTCGTTAAAGTGTTGTTGATAAGTTTGTTTTTTGTGAATATTTGATCGTCTTCGAGCAGTAATAATAATAATAGCCAGGGCGGAAATTATATTAATGAAAAAAGGAATGAGAAAATGAAGAAGATTAATAATTGAATCAAATATTTGATTAGATGGTGAAAGTTTGATTATACACCAAATTCGTTGTTCTTCTTCATCATCTATAAGTTGTCGATATAATGGCTCTTGAATATTTGTACATATAACAATAAGAAGAACAAGAATAATTATCCATTTAGCTATTTTTGTACTTTTTCTTTTATCAAAAGCAACTCCTTTTGATACGATCATTATTCGTTCACAGGCAATGCAAGCATTTAACCAATCACTTGTGTCTAGAAAAATACGAATAATAAAATCTATCGATCGGCATTGAAGAAGAATAAATGAACGATTTGTAATAAGATTCATTTGTGTTGCAATAAGAAAACAAGTTTTCAATAGAAAAGCATTCATAATAACCATAGAAACTATTGAAGATATAAATAAATAAAGATCACAACCGATATTACGTGTTCGTTTTTTGCCAAATGTTATAAGTAATAAAAGTCCATTGACGAAACCCAATACGAATATAATTATAGTAATAGCCACAGATACTTTCACAGCAGTTGATTGTTGATTTAAAGGAAGATTTGGCCGTATCTGATAACCAAGAATTGCATCTAATGATGGCCGAAAACTTTTTGTTGAAAACTGACATCGTGATCCATAGAAACACGTATCACAAACACAAATAATCGATGCTGGACATTTTAGACGATCTTGGAAACACTGACCTCCATTTTTACATGGATTTGAACCTTGACAATCATGTGTGATATTGAAATCAAATTCAAAACAATTAGCGTGTCGAGAACGATCGCATAAACATAGATGAACTTCATCATAGAAACAAATCAATTCATTTCTTTCTTGACATGGAATATGATAATATTTTATACGTCGTAATAAATGTCGATTAACAATTGTCTTATTGAATATTTCTTGAATAGATAAACATTGATGTGAAGGAATAATTTGTGTCGAAATATCTGCTTCAAAAATATGCGACTCTTGAAGAACAATTAAATAATATTTTTCATCAAATTGTGCAAAGGCAGCATTGAATGTATTCGATACGTAGATTGTAAATCCAGTTTGATGTAGTGAAATTTTTTTCATTATTGTTGATCGAACATGTGAAAAATACTTATAGCTTTCAATGAAATGAACGAACAGTGAATCAGGAATAACAAAATTATCTGCAAAAGATATATAAATTCTAGTTGCACGATATTCACATTGTGGTCCATAATAATTTTCAGAACAAATACAGCTGTGACTATATCTAAGATTCTCCGCTATTTCTTGACGTGGGTCATTCGGTATGCACAAACCATTATTCAAGCATGTATTTTTTTCACATGAAATCTGCTTGAGATAACATAGAGAACCGAATTTACCGATAGGACATAGACATATTGATTGATCGACACAAAGTGAATCAGATGAGCAATTGCATCGATGCGTAATCGAGCAATCACTGCCTGACCAACCATGATCGCATCGACAGAAGAACATTTTTTCTGTATTCGTATACTTGATACATTGACCATGAATGCATGGTAATGGGCAATGTTCTGTTGGTTGAACAGATGAAATCGGAATATTAAGTTGAACTGCTAAAGGATATACGGGTAGAAATGGAAATAAAATTGGGAAAACCCAACTTGCTCGATAGTTTAATGTTAGTTTATCAAATACATCAATACGTACAGAATAGTTTTTTGCATTATTTTTTGGTCGAGTAGAATAAAGTAGATTAACATGAAATTTTGTTTCACAATCTCGATAAGGGCAATACTCTACTCGATCATGCGAATGAACTTTTCCTTCATGATCTATCAATAGAATCAGGATGCTAAAAATAGTACGCCAGTCTGATCCTACACGAAACTGAAAAGTAATACTAATACGTTCATTTTGGTATTGACATGTATCACCATAATAACTTGGCGGACAAAGACATTGTTGTAAAACATTTTCATTATCGTTCATTCGAACACGAATATTCAATCCACGGTTACAACGCGATGTCCATTCATCTTCGATATCAGTGTCTAGCATGTTTTTAATCGATGGATTTGGAATATCAAGAGAAAATCCTTCGATATTATTATTGATGGTTAAACTTAGCGGATAACTCTCCATGTTTAGTAGTGTCAAATAAACTTTTTTGTCTAAAGAATCACTAAGATGACATAATACGTTACCAACATCCGTACTAGGTTCATTACAAAATTTTGTTCCAAACAGTAGTATTTTATTCATACAAAATTGTTCATCATCATCAAATTTACAATCGTTGTATCCGTCACAAAGATCATCACTACTAATGCATCTAGTATCATTCCAACAAAAAAAACGTTGATTCTTATTCTTTGAACTGATCATTCGACAATATTGACGTTCATCCGATGCTCCAAGACAATCGATAACACCATCACCAGTTCGATTGATTGGTAAACATTCTACTTTGTTAGGAGCATTTGGTAAAACACACATATGCTCAAAAGATAGACAAACGGAGCCTTGGCAATCAAGTTCATCCGCTCCATTATAACAATGCCAAACACCATCACATCGATGATAAATACTATCACAAGGCCAATATTCACATTCTGTTTCATCTGTTTCATTTCGTCCATCGATTATGACAGGAATTAATTGTTCGTATCCATCACAAATTGTCGGAAAATAAATATGACGCTGTTTGTTCACCGGGGTATCTATTTCCTCATCTTCTCCTCCGTGACAATCTTCGTAACCATTCGTAACGATCGAATGTGCAAAGCATCGCTTCTCATCATCGAAACATCGAAACCGAAAACGATAATCGCTCAATTCACAACTTTTATTGTAGTTTTCATCATCTTCAAATGGACAATCGATAATACCGTCGACAAGACGATATTTCGATATGCATTTTGTTGAATTCCTGCATTGATACGCATTTGAATGATTACAATCATATGTTCCGGTTGGAATAACTCCACAAACACGAAAAATGCGTTTGAGATGCTGTATTAATAATTCCAAATTTTCACCGTTACTCATTGCAGATAAATCCAATTGATTAATATGACGACAAGCAGAACCATTGAAATGAATAGTAGCCGGTAAAAACTCTTTGCACAATTCCTCGTTGTAGCATATATACGATGGTAGCCAGGCTTCATTAATAACGTTTTCAGTTTCAAACATCATACGCACATGACCGTACAAAATAGGTTCAGCAGGAAACTCGAATAAACCTGGACAGTGGTCCAACAAACAACTTACATCTGAACAAAGCTGGTTACACCATTCTTCTTCTCCATCATCATCATCATCATCATCTTCATCATCTTCATCATCAAGCATTTTCAATAGACAATTCATTGCATTCATACATGAGTCGTTAGAAAAAAAATTAGCCTTTCCATTCGAACAAATTCCATCCATTTCTCTAATACATTGTCCATCCCCGCATGAAAATTCATATTTACCCGGACGGCATGAACGATCTTCGCACGGAAAAGAAGGATTTTCAAAACATGTAAATGAGAAGTCGGAGTTTATTGGTTCATCACTTCGATCCAGACAGTCTGAATACATTGGTTCATCTGAGAGAAATACTGCCGGTATGCATTGTCCATTATGACAACGAAATTCCTCAGTAGTACACTCGTTCATTTCGAGTGCCCAGCAATCAGACTCATCGGTTCCATCTAAACAATCCATTTCTCCGTCGCAAATGTCACGCCAATCAAGACAAGTTAATAATGTTTCACATTTCAAGTGCGAGTAGCATGTAATCATTGGGTTGTTAAGCATAACTGTTTTCGCCCTGAAAGTATATTCAACAAATCGACCGAAAGATTCATCATCAAAGAACTCGAAAGAATATTGACAAAAAGATCCAAACCAAAGCCATGAACAGTTGTAAAATGAATAATGATCATCTTCGACAGATATAAAATCCTTCTTATGTTCTCTATAAATTTGATAACGTTCTGCAAGATCAATAGTAGTCGACCATTCAAGTAAATTTTGGCTGGTTATATTCTGTTCGTATAACATTTTAAAAGTAAAATGACGATTATCTACATTATCAAAGTTTACAGGGGATATACGTGCACTCTTCGTTGAAGATCGAAAACAAAAGGGGATAACCTGTTGTTCCAATTTACTCCCAAAGTCAACATAATAATCCAAACAATGATTATCAACCTCATGATCTACATTATACATATTCAATCGCTCACACATTACAGTATTTATGATCAACCAGCCGAGTGCGTAGAACAATAGCATTATTAATATGCGAATATTTATCAAAAAAAAGCTTTGTCAGTAGTTCAGAATTGTGTGGATTTGAAGAAAAGTGACATATTCCTTTTATTAATAAACATGTTCAACTCGCTATATAGTTAAATACATATTTACTCTTTCTATTATTTCTGGATCATATAATAGGTATCTTATATAGTTATATTTCTTTTATGTATGTAAATGAATATATAAGAATACATTGCAAGTATCAAATCCTTCTCATAATCTTCTATTTGAATCACTAGAGATACTTCGTAACCTTAATTGAGATTTATTTTGAAATTGATAAAAACATTTTATGTCTACGAATGCATGATTACATTTTTTTTTATTACTTTCTATGTATTGCTAACTATGAAAATTGTTTGTATCAATAGAATAAATCCATACTGTCATACATACATGTCAATCTGTTCGAATAATTTTGACAGATTCTCACGCCATTGATTATAATTTTCTCTATTGGGGTATCTTTTTTTATGTTTTATCGGTGACATATGTCTTTCATTATTATCATTGACTGTTTGATCAATAGAAGTATCTGTCGTTGTTGAATTATTATCAACTAAATATTAAAAATTATTTTATTATTTTCTCTTCTCGTAGGAATAGATAAAATCGTGTCAATCGTCAAGATATGGAGTATATGACTGTCAAATTGGATAAAATATCTGAACTAAATAAGTAAAGTTGTATTTAAGGGTGTGGGTGTGGGTGTGAGTAAAGAAGATACACTCACACCGACATTCATACCAACACCAATACACACTCTCACATCCACCATCAGCTTATATTCGGTTACAAAATGCAATTGGTACTTTTTAAGAATGTTAAAATGATCCTAAAGGAAATGATTTTGGACATATTTATCAAGAATTTAAAGTAATTATTGATGTTATTCAAACATCATTTCAAAATCCAAATAATTTAAATAAAAATCAATTTGATCAAATTGCACTGGATATTGTTCATCGAATTTCACAATTTCTAATGTCATCGAAAAAAACGATGAAGATGGTATGCTTATGGAATATCTTTATCAATAAAATCTACAAATAGTCCATATGAACAAATGACTATTGTATTGTTTATTACTGATTTACCTGGTAATATAACTAATATTGAGTTTGATATGATGATAGAGAAACTTAAAAATACAGAATGATAATGGAACATTTTATGCATCACTAATAAGTCATTATTTAGATATGAAATGTCATGCAACAATTGAGAATATTTCAGCTTCGCTATATGTTCCTAAAAATAATGCTATTCAGTAATAGTATTCGTTGTCTTTCTTGTTTTAATGTTTTTCTTTTAATCAAACTTATTTTTATCAATTTATATATATTTATTGAATAAGATTTTTTTAGTTTTCCATTACAATCAAAATTTCATAAAATTTCAAGCTGCGTATCGCTTCCTTACTCATACCCAAACAACTGAGAAAAAATAAAATAACATAATGGATTAGTGTCAACGCGCTAAGAACACGCCAACATTGTTATCATTAAGGTTTACAACAATAATATCGGGTTTACTATCACTATTAAGATCAGCGACTGATAACGAAAAAGGATGTGAGCCCGTGGAGTAAGTATTTTGAGGAAGAAATGTACCATTTCCAGCGTTAATAAGGATGCCAATTTTATTTGTACCATAGTTTGCAACAATAATATCGGGTTCATTGTCTTTATTGATATCAGTTACAAATACAGAATATGGGCTCGAACTACTTCCAGTTGAATAAGTTGTTTGAGGGCGAAACGTACCGTTGCCATAGTTAAGAAGAACACTAACATTGTTAGTACCACTATTTGCAACAATAATATCTGGTTTATTATCATTATTAACATCAGTTACAAATACAGAATATGGATTTGAGCCACTTCCAGTTGAATAAGTTGTTTGAGGGTGAAACGTACCATTACCATAGTTGAGAAAAACGCCAACACTATCAGTACCATGGTTTCCAACAATAATATCCGGTTTGTTATCTTGATTAACATCAGCGACGAACACACTTTGTGGGTTAGAGTTCGTTCCAGTTGAATAACTTGTTTGAGGACGAAATGTACCATTTCCGACATTAATAAGGATGCCAACATTGTTTGTATCATAGTTTGCAACAATAATATCAGATTTGCCATCATTATTGATATCACCAACTGACAGACATGCCGGTGATGAGCTACTTCCAGTTGAATAAATTGTAGAAGGAAGAAACGAACCACTACCGTTGTTAAAAAGAACACCGACATTATCCGCTCCTTGGTTTGCGATGATAATGTCAGGTTTATTATCACTATTAACATCAGTTACTGACAACGAGTTTGGATTTGTGTTACTTCCAGTTCCACTTAGATAACTTGTTTGAGAATTAAATGTCCCATTACCGAAATTCAAGAAAACACCAATTTTGCCGTTTCCATTGTTTCCGACAATAATATCAGGTTTATTGTCAAGATTAACATCAACTACAAATACAGGCGCAGGACTCGAACCACTTCCAGTTGGATACGTTTTTTGTGCAAAAAATGTTGCGTTGTATTGAGCTGTTATAAAAGAAAAATTCTCTTTTTCACATCTTGAAGGTAGGTAGGTGAGAATATTTCTTCTCTGCCGTTACACTCACCCCTTGTAGTAGTAGTTGTTGTTGTTCTTGTCGATACTAGAAAAGCGAAGAATATTTATCGAACAATAAAAAAAAGCGAAAATTTAGATATATAAACGAACTTACCATCTGATTGAATACGTGTTATTAATATTGCTGTTTGATTAATAAACATAAAAGTAGAATTCATACTAAATGTAATTACAATTGAAGTCATATTATAAGTAAACAACTGACAAGTTTGATTTGTTTGAAAATAATTTATAGCAGATATTAACTCATTTGATTTTATCATTTCACATATACATTGATCAAGATCTAAACTGACGAATGATTGATTGATTGTACCAGTCGCTATATTATTTTCTATTATACCAATTTTAATCGATTTAGTGATAGAAAATAGTGATAAAATAATGATCATCCAAAACATCATTTACTACTGAACTTTTCTCACAACTACTGAAATAACAATTCTGACTATTTACCTTCGTTGAATGTTTATCTTTTCTTTTTAATTTGATATTTAATTATTTTAAAAAAACTAATATCCGTTTTACATGAAGTGTTCGTCAGAAAAAAAAGACATGTATGTTTATATTATGCAAAGGAAACACTTCAGTATTTACATTATATATTGAAAAAGAAAAAAATCTTAATGATTTGCTTCAAAGTAAAGATGAATTGAGAAATTGATAATACAAAGAAAAAAAATCTACTATATTTTAATAAAAAGTCGTGAATCTCTGCTGTTGACGAACTTTTATTTGATGGAGGTATCTCAGCGTGTAAAAAAAGGACATGTTTTATGTGTTTTTTTCTTCATTTTTGAGATATGTGTATAGATAAGGAATGTAGTACAATCACACTTTATCTTTTGTATTTATTCACTTTACATATTATCATAAATTATCATTCAAAAAAGATACTTTTTTGAGTTACATTAGTTGTTTTTTGTACTTGTGCAAAATGTTTTGAAATTTTTCTAATCAAACAAATAATTACGCAATTGAAAAGAAAATCTTATAATACACGATAACAACACACGGAAAATTTTAGTTCAGCACAACGATAAATATGAAATATCCACTTTACAGAGTAATAACGCTCTCATTAATAGCCTCCATTGATACCATGTAAATTTCATTATTATGGTACAAATTCCTCATTTGATATGTTCAATTAAGTTAAAAACTGATCACTTCGACTGAAAATTTCTACAATAGGCGAATGTAGGTGTAATATTTTAGCTATCTTATATTTACATCCTAAATTATCTGTCGTCTTCGATATTTTTTTCAAATATTTGATTATTATTAGAATTATTATTAGAAAGAAAATCATACATTATTCTGATTTGAAATTATGAAATAAAAGAACTCTTCGATTTTTTCTTATCTTGAATTTGATTGAAGTAAAATTAAAAGTTACTGAAAAGAATCATTTTAGCAAAGAATTGGATAACTAGCCAACGTGGCAATGCCGCATTGATTATTTCTATTACGTGTCATTTTAATATAACCTTGTGCACCACAACCTACATCCCAACTAAAATAATTATACATAAAAATATGCATTGTTTAAAATCTATGATAATTACCTGTTTTTCAAAAGCCAGTAATCTTTACCCGATTCATTTCCATAACCAATAATAAGCATACTATAGTCAAGTTTAGTTTGTGAACAATCTGGCTCATTATAAACTAGAAATAACACAGTGTAGAAAATAATATGAACAAATCAAAAAGCACTTACCGCCACTTTTGTAGAACTGAAATGAGTTCTGACTAGCATCAACAGAAGCTGCTACGGGTTTAAGTAAAGCAACTGCTTGTTGAAGTGCTGCTTCACTTCCAAATGAAATATTAACAGATCCACACAGTCTAACGACAACTTTTGATGTATTAAATGTACATGTGTTTTCAATTGCTTTATATGGATAAGTATCACTCGCTTCAATACCACCAACTTCTTGGATATATTGGAAAGCTACAGTCATTGATCCACCATAACAACCCCTATTTCCCAGTAAAGTAGAACAATCAATTAATTGTTGTTCAGAAAGTGAAACAAGTTTTTCAGTTTTAATCGCATATGCACTTTCAATTGAACCAACTGCTGCGAATGCCCAAGGTGATCCACATTGACCTTGATCTTTAACTGGAACTACAACACCTTTATCCCGCCAATCTATTAGAGAATAAGAAACAGTTAGACTTTTTTTGAACATCTTTACTATGAAAACCATTTAATAATTTTACAAATTCTTCGTTAGTCTATAGAATTACAAATCTAATGATAATGATTATATGACAAAACAAAATTTTACTAAATCCTCAAATTGATTCATTCCAAGCCAATATGTATAGATACCAACATCAGCTTGACGATTATATTCTTCCACAGTTTTCAAATTATTTTCCCAAATAACACGACTAGAATGACCGATTAAATTGTGATATTACAATGGCAAAGAAATTCTCATACCGAAGACGCTCTTCAACATTAGGATAACTTTTATTAAATTGATTTTTCCATATTTTCCAATGCTGATTAAGTGTCATGTTACGAGCACATGTGCTGCTCAAAACAAATACAATAAGTAAAAGAATTAATATTGATCGCATCTAAATATTTCATTTATGAGTAGAATCATATTATTTTATCTATAAATACTTACATTTCTTGGGTAAAAATGAGTCCGATGTCATTCTATAATGATACAAATATTTATCTTGTTGCTTATCTTTAGTCATGTTTATTTTATTGAAGTACAGCGTCATTTGATGATATGATAATTTTTTTCTTTTAATACTTTATCATCAACGTAATTCAAAACTCTAAAAATTAGTTGGAAATGATACTTCATCCATTTCTTCTGATTTTGCCTTATTTATAGTGCTTTTTAATAGTGATTATCTAAATTTAAGTCAAAATTGCACGAGCGTGGCTGTAGTATATGATTCCTCTTAAACCCACACCCTCAAATTTATAGATTACAATCTAAATAATGATATATATTCAATAAGTCACGTTCAGATCTTCGTTTATTGAAACATCTTGTTACGATTCGATAATGAATGAAGTTTTAATTTATCCGTTATTTCAGTAGTAATCATTGTATTTGATAAATCTTATTTATTAACAAGAATAAGTAATGGTGTGCGTGTGTGTGGAAAACGAACGAATGAATCCACATCCACACCCTCAAGATTTAATAGTATGTATTCTGTAAAAATATTTTAACTTAAAAGTAAACTTTATTGTTATTAGATGTATAAAACAATCATGTTTGAAGATGGAAAATATCCTTTTTATTGCATTTTAGCTACACTCTCAATCTTCATTAGCGAATTGTAAAGCATAATGAGCAAGTAAACGAGTTGTATCAACAACAGGTTTTTCAAGATTGTTTTCATTATATACAACAGGTAATTCTGTACATCCAAGAATAATTGCATCACAATCATATTTTTTAATATCATTTTGAATATTTTCTACCGTTGTTGAATTTATTTGTGATGGAATAATTTCATTTCGTATTAAATTTTCAATTTTATCACAAATATCATCTGTAGGAGTAATCGATGTTATATTTCTTGATTTTAATACTTCATTATATAATCCTCCTTGCATAGTAAGTTTTGTTCCAAGAACTAAAACTTTTGAATAACCTTTTCTATGACATTCATCAGCAACAATTTCAATCAAATTAATTACTTTCAATGGTGAGTTCTTTTCAATCATTTCTATAGAATAATGAGGAGTATTTGATGGAATAATGACGAAATCAGCACCAACTTTTTCCAGTAATTTAATTGATTCACATATTTTGTTACTCAAACTAATCCAATCTTTTCTATGTATATATTCATAATATTCATCATAAGAAAATGCATGCATTGTAAATTCTGGATGTTTTTTTGATGAAGTAAGTTTTGCTGCTTGTGCAACAATTTCATTTGCACATAAACATGCACCAACTGTTGTAATATCAACAATTCCTATATGTTTCATTCTTTGTAATCTGGAAATAACTGTTAAATAAAATGTAAATACTGTTGATTTCTGAAAATTATAAATTAAAATAAAATTATTTACCGGTTTTGATCGTCGTCATTTTGTGAAAAATAAAACAACAAAAAAAGAATGTAACAAAACAATAAAGAGGTCCAATGATATAATAATAACGATCAGTTTATGGTAAAGTGCACCATCTATTGATGATAACATATTTACTTTTTTTCTTTCGATAAAAATATTTATATTTTAATCACATATCCTTTCATAAATGTATAGTTTAATTTCGACATTTCTTCGTTTTACCTGTTACTGTCTATAGTTGAGAGTGTGGATGCGAATGTTGGTGAATATAATATTCATCTCACATCCTAGCTGCCCTCACATAGACACATTCTTAAGTAGAGTGTGACTAAAGAAAAGCTTTTACTGTTATCTATATCAAAAGAGCGAATTAAATTTGAATAGCACCATAAAAAATTTCAATCAATTTAATTAATAATCGTACTCAATCCGAAAAAGAATTAAGTGCAAACGATTAATTCCTCTTGGGAGTGTGAGTGTGGATGTGGCTGAGGAAAAGATAATCACACTCACCTGTACCATCAACCCACACCCTCAAGATGGATACTAAATGTGGTCGTGAGTATGTGAAGATGAAGCGTTGTTTTGCTTGATTTCAGATAATTTTATTGATGGACCTTTTGAACTATCTTTTTTGACCGAAAAAAAAATCGTTTCGTACTATACTTCCTTTGAAAATTATTTTTGAAATATTTCATTAGTATTTATCTTGAATGATTGAATGTACTCTATTCTATCATACGTTAATAAAGAATAATTTGTTCTATCAATCATTCGAATATGTAGTATGAAAATAAAATCTGAGTTGTTGTCAAATCTTTTCGTTTTAGTTTTAGTGTTCAACATTCAACATAATGTAATTCATTCTTCCATTCTATAAATATAAATAAAAGAGTAATAACGAAAAAAGTATCATGACTCATGTATTGCATGTTTTCATAATGAAAGATTTTTCCCATTTGATTATATATAACATCAGAAGAACAAGACAAAAAAATTACGTATCCATGAGCAGTCATCCTATTCCGCAATGTTGAACATTTCAGGAACCAGTTCCGCTCCGGAATCGATTCCGTTCAATTTCGGGAACTCGATCGACACATAATATCCGATACCCACTCGAAAATTGATCGAGTTCCGTCCAATTTCGGAATTGGTAGGAATTCCGTCCAATTCCGGAATCGGTAGGAATTCCGTATAATTCCGGAATCGGTAGGAATTCCATGTAATTCCGTAATTAGAAGTAGTTCACGCAATTCCGGAATTGGTGGGAATTGGTAGGAATTCCCAGGAATTCCGTCCAATTCCACTGAATTCCGTCTTGATG